TATACTCGAGTATATACAGTATTTAAAAAGAACACTCATATTTTTCTACACATAATTTTAGAGAGTATTGTGAGATATTTTTAAATATGGGAACTACTTTGTTCTCCTTGCTATGTTCTCCAAATGGAAATGCTTCAAAAGGAAATGAAAACCATGTTAACTCTATAGGCCGTATATATCCTCTCACTTCATCCTCTGCCATCTGTGTCTGGACACAGAGAACCTACAGAACAGGTTAACTGCTAATTGAGATAGACCTCCTGCTTCATTTCTTTGCAATTATATTTTGAAAAGTTAGATTCATGACAAGAAGTCTAATAGATCCCCTAAGTTATTGAGGGCCATGGAAAAGTGGATGCTTGTCTTCATATTTACTGTTAATCTGAGAACTGTATTTATGCAAACTGGCATATGTAGTTACCAGTTTGTAGTTCTTTGTAGTGCTAGTCTCTACACTATGCTAGCCAGAGGTCTCTAATCTACAAATAAGAGAAAGAAGGAATAAATAAAGCCGTAGCCTGAATCCAGCCTCCATGTTCTGCCACTTCATTGGAGGCTGTGTTGCATTATACATCATGCTGATGTTCTGTTTAGAGGTTTAAATTCTGGTTCTCTTCCAATTCTAATGTCATGATTTCCATCTTGTAGGACACAGTAAAGCTGTTAGGGATATATGCTTTAACAATGCTGGGACCCAATTCCTCAGTGCTGCATATGACCGCTATCTCAAACTGTGGGACACTGAAACAGGTATTTGTATGCGTGGAAAGATTGCTAATGTAATGTGCATTTTTCAAAGGATAAACTTCAAGCAGTATACATCATTGCCCAATGTACTTTTAGGATACATTAAAGGATGGCTCCATAATATAAAAACATGTCAGTCATATATGCATGTGCTGAGATGGAAAGAGCAAACTTACAGCTCAGTAAAAGAGCAGATACTCCATTTTGTGAGGTCCTTGTTTAGTATGTTCAAGAAAGGCTAGGAAAGATTCCGTCACAAACTCTGCAGAGTCCATTGTTAATTGTTGCAGGCTAGACTGACTAATGGTTTGTCTAAATATATAAGCTTGCTTCCTCTATATTCCTATTGATTGGTTGGCTTATTTTTGTCCTCTGCCTTAATTTTTTATTAACACATATAAGCATGAGCGCATTGGTGAGGTTATCTAGTTTGGATAATGAAACATCTGCAAGAATACAACCAGGTTCACAGAGCACCAAAGACCCCTCNACATTACTTTAAACCATAGTTGCTAGTTTGACATTGATATACAAAGTCTCTATATACACTATATTGCCAAAAGTATTCGCTCACCCATCCACATAATCAGACTCAGTTGTGAGCGAATACTTTTGGCAATATAGTGCATCTGTATTGTAATTGAAATCTTGAGCTATATAGCTAGGACACAAGTAGCAAAACATAGAAAATATATAATCAAATACATTTCTAAATCTTCCAATTTTTTGCTGAAAATGCAACACAGAAATGTTGCTTGCTGTAACATTACATGAAAGACAACTTACATAGTCAGCCACACAAAGGTATCTGATGCTGTTCTTCAGAATGTTTTAAGGTTGATATTTTTGACAAACATCCTTTCCAATTTCCACATAGCATTATTATGAGCAGTTGCTCTGTTGTGCATCTGCTATCAAAGACACAAAGTGAGGAGGGAAGGAGCATACCTGTGAGCATAACTGACCACATTTTCTTTATGGTTCCTGTGCATCATACAAGGGGGTAAAACAAGCATTTTTACCAAGGAAAATGGGTTCATCTCAAAGTAATAAGCAGAAGGTAGCATATCTAAAGTCTGAGAAGTCTAGATATTAATCAGTAAGACATCAAGAACAGATCTTGTCAAAAATGGTATGCGGGCTAAGCTAAATCTTCCAATGGGGGAGAGAATTTCCAAGGAATCCGAATCTGATTACAGAGGGGAGGGGAATGTGTATTTTTTTAAATACTCTTATAAAACCAGTCCATTTTCTATCTGGACCATGTATGAAGTGACCCTATCGATGGCTAGTACTGAAGTATGTGCACATACACGTGCACAAATATAAAGACACTCTGTGTGTGTCTGTGTATGTGTCTGTGTGTGTGTGTGTGTGTGTGTGGTATATATGTAAAATCCACTTGTTCACAATGTAATTTCCTGAATTGTACTTAAAGCCCTTTACTTCAGATATCATTTTTTGTTTTATTAGAACTCATTGAAGATAAATAATTCTATACTTTGCTGTAGAAGTAAGGATTGTAATTCTTAATATTTTGGCAATTTAGGAAGAACAGAGGGAACTGGATGAAATAACTGCAAAAAGGCAGAAGAAAGGCAAACATGAAGATGATAAACCTGGAGAAGAAAAGACAGTTTTGCATGGTAAGTGATAGTGTTAGCAATTCATCTGCATTTCTGTCATAACTTTCCACTCTATCGCTATTAAACATAATCCCATATCTGTATTTCATTGAATTATTACATCATAACTAGAAGTCAGCACAGGGTGGTTGTTTGTTTTTATGTGTGTATGTGTAATTAATAAGAAAGATTAATTTTGGTTTTTGTTTGTGGTAACAAAGTAAAAAAAATGAACCTGCAGTTAAACTTAAGACAAGGGCAGATTGAACTATTGGGAATATTGTGGTAAAGTCATTTGCTTGGATACTCCTCTCAAATATCAGCTCTTTGGTTTTTAATTTGCAAACTTCTTTTCATGTAGTCTGCTGCCTAGTAGCTGCTCCAGGCTGCAAGGATTGCCACCGCCCATTGGCGCTGCTTCCTATCACCATCTCTGCATGCCCCATTTTCGACCTCCACATATCCCATTTTCAGTCTCCACACACCCCATTTTCAGCCTGTTCCTGCAGCCTGGCCAATGCACTTCATTTTAATCACAGCCACTCCAACATTGAATTAGTCTATTATTTCTCTGACAGTGTGAATTTTCTATTCATTCATTCATATTTCTTTTTCTTTCAGTCAAAGAAATGTATGACTATCAAGGGAGGTCTTACCTTCATGTTCCTCAGGATGTTGGTGTTAACCTACGTTCAACAGTACCCCCTGAAAAATGTTACCTTCCTAAGAAACAAATCCATGTATGGTCAGGTCATACAAAGGTAAGGAACACCTAAAAAATTATATTTTCCTCTTTTGTGTCTTTGCAGTCCTTTCATGATTATAATTAAATTAAGCCCATTCCAAATTTTCCAGAATTTCAAAATGTTGCGAAAAAAATTGCACAGGATATTTATTATTAGACAAGTTTTATTACTGTATATCAATTTTATTCCCAATTTTTAGCCTATCTCTGCTAGTTATCACTACTTTTCCATATAAGTTGCTTTTAAAATACAGATATTATTTTACATTTAAAATAAGTTGTTTCAACCATTCTGGAAGTAATTTGAGCTTGAAACAGTTATGTTTCGAATTGGAAACAGATGTTTTAATCTCAAAACACTTCCAGAATAATCAAAACAAGCTATTTTTAACTCAAAGCAGCTGTTTCAGACTCAAAAACAAACCACTTCAGAATCAAAGTATTTTTCACATCTATATTTTAAAACCATTGGCTTTAAAGATCTAGTCTTGAGCTCATTCATGGAAACCAGTGGTACCTGTTAATAAGATGAAGACTTGGGAGAAAATGCCAGGCGTTATAAAGTCTTTTCTGTGCTTATGGAAGGATTTTGATGATTTCACAGCAAGTTTGAAGATATACATTCCAAACCTAACTTATCCCAGTATTTTCTGTGGCTCAAAAATCTTCCATTTTTGCTTGAAGAATCCCCCATTTTTACATGGCCACGTTTATAGGAAGTATGGAAGTCTCAAAATAATGTAATAATTAGGTCAGGTAGTAGTAGTAGTATGGTAGGCGAGCCATTTGATAGACCAGCAAACCTCTTTCCCTAGCTGAAGGGAAGACATCTGTTCATGGAGACATAGCTGCTTTTGAATTACAGTTTTTCCTGTAGTTTCGGCGGGAGGGGCTACAACTGGTTTTAGTCACAGCCTGATTGGTCCAGAGACTGAGGGATTTTTCGTAAGTATCCTCCTTTCCCTCTAGGCTCCCAGTTTCCCTCAATCTTTGGTCCAAGCACTAGCTGTGGCTCCAGTGAGGTACTTATTGAGATTATAATTATTAATTCGGTTGATTGGATATTCTAAATTTATTATACAAAAAAAGAAAGACTCAGATTGCTGGCCAAAGAGACTGTCTTCAGTCTCATCAGGGTAGGGAGAGCCTGGCCTCCTACCCTGGGCCGGATAAGGGGCTTGCCCGATTCCTGGGGGCGCAGGGGTGGCAGGCTCCTATCGCAGTCTTGACGTATTACAGGCTCGGCGGGCAGCTTCGTTTTTTACATGGCCATGTTTATAGGAAGTATGGAAGTCTCAAAATAATGTAATAACTAGGTCAAGTAGTAGTAGTAGTATGGTAGGCCAGCCATTTGATAGACCAGCAAACCTCTTTCCCTAGCTGAAGGGAAGACATCTCTTCATGGAGACATAGCTGCTTTTGAATTACAGTATCTCAATGCTCATCTTAAGTATTAGCATCTTTCACTGCATATTAATATTAGTTTGTTAATGGTGTAGGAAACTACTATAGTCAGATTGTGGATATTAAATTGTCTAAGTAGACCATCAAGCTTTTTCCATGAAATGTGACCATATACATATCTGGCATTAACTCTTCTTTTTGTAGAATTAAAAGTGTTGTTGTGATTTGAATTCATGTACATTTTGTGTTTTAATAGGAACTATTACTTTGTTAACCTTAACCTTGAGTAACTACAGTTTCCCCACATGTTAGAAAAGGGGCTTATCCAAAACTGGCCAAACTTTAGAATATACCGCAGTCATAATATATTGGCCTTGAAAATTAGAAGATAAAGCCAACTCAAAGCCTAGTCATTGGTGCATCTTGGGAGATGTAGAACTGTTGCTGTGCTTTAGGCACAAAAACCTAATAGTACTACTGTAGAAGCAAATGATGTATTGTACTGAAATACATATTTTGGAATGGAAAATGCATACATATTCATAGTTATGTTCTTGTTTAAGGGAGTCAGTGCCGTCAGGCTGTTTCCTCTTTCTGGCCATCTGCTCTTATCTTGTTCCATGGACTGTAAAATTAAGGTAAATGGATTCAAAGCATATACTATCTCTGCTTTAATTTTGTTGTGACTACATTTGCTCTTTAATGCTTTCATTAATGTAAACTCAGTAGTAATTGTCATGTTTTTGCCAGGACCATCCAGGATTATAACTTTTAAGGGCTGTTAAGTGCTTATTTAGCAAGAAACACATTCATTTAAAACAGTTAACATACCCATAGTTGTGGAGACTTGCTGAATTGCAATTCCCAATATCCTTCATAGTTGGCCATGCTAATTTAGGATTCTTGAAAATTCAATATGTGGAGAGTCAGGGTTTCTCCACATCTTAATAGCTAATTAAATGTTTTGAACAGATCTTGTAACTGGTAAAGCAAAACCATTACAGCCAATGTTAAAAGATGAGAATGTTGATTAGGCATAACAGGATCTTGCGGTATAAAAACGATTGTATTGATCCTCTGTACTAATCCACAATGCCCGTATTTCTGAAAAATATTTTGGATTTTTAAAATACTAACCATTACTTCCTTTTGAATATTTTTGCAGCTATCTTTTTCTCTCTATGCCCATTATATAATATTTTTCTCTCATCACTTTTTGTGGAACCCCTCTCACTTCATTCTGCCAAGTATTCTTTTTCGTGCTTCCCAGTAACTTGGCACAATTTTATGGTTCTTTGTAACATAATTTCACCCCATTCTTAACAGCTTCTACCTATAATCTTTTCTTATGCCCATTTTTATTCATTTTGTTGTGAGACACATACTTTTCCTGCATTCATTCTATTTTCACTTTAATTCCCTTCCTTTTCTTCTGTGTCCATTTCCCCTGATTCTGCTTACAATTTTATAAAAAAAATGTGTGGGTCATCAGTCTTACATTCTTCACTAATTTTTTTAATTGTTCAGCATAAGCAATCTATGCAATAATGCTTTCATCGACACCCCAGGAGACTAGACAGAAGATGCCCAAATTCCTAGAGTCCAAGAATGGTCTCTCAGGGGGGTGAGGCACCACCTCTTGTCAAGGCTGGTGAAATCATTCCTTCCCACAAAGAGACATTAGTCACTACTTGGATCACCACATGCCACCTCCCAGGAACTCTTTAACTAATCTGGAAGCACATGGATGCAGGCCATAGGTGGCAGAACTCATAGTAGTAAAGATTCTCAGATTGACTAACTCAAACTCCTCCCTCACAATCAAGTTAGGATGTGCCTTGTTCACTTCCCCTATACTTTTGTATTTATATGTATGTACATAAATAGGGACACGGTGGCTCAGTGGCTAAGACACTGAGCTTGTCAATCAGAAAGGTTGG